TGGACGGGGTCATAAAAGAAAGGCTTCATCGTCGGTGGCTGCTAAGAAAATACAGGGATGTTTTTCACCCACCGAAAGGGCAATAAAGTCTGTCTCACAGGGCGTAACACACTCGAGTGGTCCTCTGCGCGGTAAAAATAGCTCACACAGCCCACCTGCCACTCAGTTTTAGCAACAGAATCTAGTGTTGGTTTGACTGCAGTGTATATCCAATAAAATCTGTTGGCATGCACCTTTTCAACACTACAGGCTTGACAGCACTGGGCTCATTGCCAACGGTATACTGTGATGAAATTTTTTCTTCTGCCGCTGTTGACCTGAGTAACAACAAATCAAACCACCAGCTGGTCACTGAATATGGATATTTGCATTAGTTTTCACACAGTCAAAGTCAGCAAACGTCAACCTTCCTTCACCGTTTTCTCCAGTCCATTAACACCTAAGAGACCTTTATCTCCTTGCTTTAGGTTTCTTTATATTTATTCCTTTTATATTGACAGCGTCAACAAACCTTGTCACAACGAGCATGTCCTTGCTCTGTGTATAGATGATATACAGTGTGCCCCTTCGACTCCATATCCCGTTTCTCTATTTGACATTAGGACCAAACAACTCTCTTGCACTGACTCATGTTGACTCACATGGCAGCACGCTCCTAGGCCTGCTTAGAATAGCCTCCTGTCTGCTCCACTAGCACACTGGCTAGTGCTCACACAAAAAAGAAACCCACATACACCACACATACACTGGGAAGCACATAGACCTAGCTAGCTTAAACCAGGGGTAACAGTTTCGGGGGAATTCAAAGTACTCTTACATTTGCATCACTATGTTAATAATGTTATGAACAGCTTACAGACTTCTCTTAAATCATCAAAACGTGTGACTCTTAACGTTGAAGGCGTGATGAACCGCTAACCCTTACAGATTTTTAGTACAAAAGATGCTATAAGGCTTTGAAACACCTTTAACTTTACTGTTTTTTTGTACAGTATATAGACCAGCCCTGAACTAAGGCTCTGATCAAAGGTTGTGTAGTAATCTTAGTATTTACTTCAGCTCCTTAGATCACCTGCAATCAACTTCCAAGGAACGCAAAAATGTTGAAACAAATGTTTTAGATTCGTAAAGAGTCTCGATTATTATTATTATTTTTACCAGAAGTGTAAGTTGTCTAAATCATTATAAATTCCGACACACATTTCTACAAATGTTTAGCAGATAATGATATGAGCTTTTTAAAGTGTTGCCTCAAAAGTAACCAACCCTCTGAAAATCCTCTTGGTCATTTGAATTAAATACATTTTAATACAGTCGTCTGTGCTCCTTATTTGCGTCTTAATTTCCAACTAATTACATCTAATTAAGAGGAAAGACTTTAGTTTCAAAATGTCCTATGACACCTTTTTAGTCGAGAATGAGCTCTGTCTGAAATTGATGGGAGAGAAAATAAATTGTTTGCTTTTGCTGCTGGATTAAAGGCTTTGACCTGTTCAATTCAATGTCCTCCTGCTCACACTTGGGAACACGTACGCATTCACATGGCTGCACTGTTATCGTCCCTACTGTTTCATTTGCACTGACCCCTTGATCCCCCCCCCATCCTCTCTTTCCTCATATTCACCGGTCTCCCTTCCTCAAGTACCCCCAGTGGTCCAGTCCATTACTGGTATCAGCACTTCTTATCTGCTGCACAGTGCTATAAAATCACACTCCATCCTCTCCCCCCCCATCACCACCACACCCTCATGGTGCATCCAGGCCGTTCACCAATCATGCTGGAGCCATGATGGCCAGGATATATATCCCCCATTCCATCTGTAGCTGGCACTCTTGCATCACATTTGCTCTGCTTACGCCTCTCCTAAGAGCCTTTGCTCTCTTTTACTTGCTCTCAGTGCTTTTCTCCTCTCTTCTTCTTTTTCTCTCGTTTTCAGTTTATTTTAATCACTTTCTACATCTCGGTTTCTTCATGTGTTTTACCATTTTCTCTTTTGCCACTTCCTTCAGCCTTCCTGCTTTTCCTTGTGGTGTGATCTGCCTTTCTCTTTTACTTTTTGCTTTTCCTCTTCCGTTTTTCTTTGAATCCCTCAGGAACGCTTCTATGTACTATCAGCCACTTTATTCAGCACTGCCACATTTTCTTTGTATGTCTTGTATTTCATTGGTGTCTGCTGTTTGCATCTTAGATCCTTTTACTTTTCTTAACTTCTGGCCGAATTTCCCTCTTTTTCTTGCAACCCAATACATGCGCTCCAGCGAATCTGTCTTGCTTTCCTACATCTTGATTTCCGTATCACTTTATCATCTTCCTCCTCTCACTCAAACCTCCATTTGCTCTCTTTCCCCCTCCATCCCCAGGCTCTGTGAGCTGTGTGTAAGTAGGTGCATCTTGCCTTGCTTCCTCTTTCAAATGGCTCCATGATTGCTAATGAAGCACACAGACAGAAAAGACGACATGATGTGGAGGAGGAAGAAGGGACAGAGGGGAAGGAGTGTTTCCCATGGAGACGGGCCCTTTAGTCGCTGGCTAGCTGATTGGCTGATTGATGACCCTCTAGCCATGTTGACTGGATAGTATGACAGAGCCTTTTTATAGCACAGAGCAGCCTAATATATGACCTCATGGCACAACACAGAGGTAGAATGAGTGTCATCCTTCTATAACATACTGATGCAAGAAACTGGTAAGAATGGCCAAGCTTGCAATTGGATGTCACAACACAGCTCCTTATCAATACTGTATGTACACCTAGTCAAGCAGCTGCTTACAATCCATCAAACCAATTTACACACACCATTTACACTAACCATTTCGATCAAACACGATGCTATCAGTATGTTCGGAATATTCTCCTCACCTGTTTCACTTTAGAGACAGGAAATCAAGCCTTGCATAGCTATGATATCAAAACAATTAGAAGTAAACAACAAGAGTGGAAGACAAAGCGATGATTTGAGCAGTATGAGTCAGCATTGTGACAAATATTCAGTACAGAATGAAATGGTTGCTTTCTTTCTTTTCTTAAAAATAAGGACTCCAGTGTTGGCAATTTGCCTTCAGGGGAAAGCGGATAGTGGAGGTGGAGACAGGATATATGAGAGAGAGGTGAATGGCATGCCACAAACATCCGCAACTTAATTTGTACAGTGGATGTTGCAGTATTATGGCTTACCCCTTAACAATTTGGCCCCTGGCACCAAAATTGACATGCTAAATTTGTAGTATAGTTATATAATTCTGCTCTCACTCCCTTTTCCATGTTAAACATCTACTGCCCCTGTACAAAGCTGGCACAAAAGACAAACACACATGGCTCTTACACACAGACTTGCATGCTTTGATACATTTAGCTCATTTGTTGCCGTAAATGCTCCATATTTGATGTGCAGGCTGAGTGATAAACAGGGGACACATCGTGAAAACTGTTGTTGATTTAACATGTCTGATGTTTTCCCAAGTGACCAGTTGAGAGGCCCCTTGTTAAACTGCAGTAGGTTGATTTCAGTTCATTTGATGACACTTTTTATTAAATGGAGGGACTTGCGTTAACAAGCAATTAATACAACTGGGACACCTTGGTATGTAACCATTTGTAATATGTCTCTCTGGCTCTATCAGTCTGTATGTCCAATATTTCCTTTGTCACTAATATTGGCTCATAATAAAGCAATGATGTAAGGGCTTTAAATTACACATTTAAAAGAAAAGTGCTGATACAAATAACAATTTATCCTTTTAAAAACAGCTCAAGGGCAAAAAATCTAGACACCGTGCAAAATATGCTCACTCTCCTTCCTCAGCATCCCCATAATCTGCATTTCTTATCCCACTTTCCCCTTTGATTTGTCACTCCCTAATTTTTCATAGCTTGGCTTTAAGGTACTAATCCAAGCATCTTACCATGTGTAGCACTTCTTACTGGTTATGTAAAACAAAGCCAAAGCTTTGATTGCCTGTATACATCTGAGAGCAAAATGATGGTACTCATATGCATCTTTGGAAGTAGTTATTTGCATTTTTTTAAATTCTGTATTTGATGATAGTTTTCTTTAACCTTTAGAAAGCAGCAAAATATTAATGAGATTATCTGTGTTGGCTGTGATGATTATGGATCGGAAAGCTTTCAATCAATCCCCTGGAGTCATTCTGTAGTATTCTCTTTGTCATCTTTCACCCACATGTTGCTCATTCCAAACATGTTATTCAGTTTTTTGCTTTTGGTGCTCCGATGCTTGTTCACATTACTTGTCTTTGTCTTTTTTTCTTTCTGTTTTTCTTTCTGTTTTTCTCTTCTCCCAGTGAGCTTGTACTATCTGCAATTATCTTAATAAGTAGGAGAGGGAAATAATTCAACAAACTTTCTTGGTCTTCAGTCGTACATACTGTGATTTCAGACAAACTGGCTCACGTGTCTTCTACATGTATACTAACCACTATGTATGTTGTTACGTTATCTTTCTTTGTTAGGCAGAGAACTGAGGCTATATAATGTCTGAGAGGGGTGATATTGTCAAAGATGAAAAATGCACAGTTAACAGCAAGACCTGAATGTATTTGTCACCATAAAAAGCCCCCCGTACTGATTGATGGAGGCACAACAGCTGGGAATGCAATGAAAAGTGAAATGAGGATCTATATTTTTGGCAAAGTGCAAGACAGTCTAAACATCCAAACATTATTTCACCTTAATTTATCACCCTCTTCACTCATTAGGTACGTGATTAATAATACCAGTTTATAATGTATAAAATGGGCTAAGTAACACAACCACCTGGCATCACAGAAAATAATTACGGAATGAGCATTTCAATGAACATAGATTGTATAAACGTTTTCTAGGTCTCCTAGCGGAACTAATATAGTTTCATCTTATAACATATTAATGCATTCGTAGAACTTAGTAATGCAGAGAAGTCATTCATTTTTATCAGCCACACCTTTATGAAGCACCACAAAGCTCACTGGCGGTGTAAAATAAAATCTGAACATATTCTCATATATAGACACACAATATAATTGCAGGCTTTGATCAAATTCAGAAAGCACTATCCACTTTTGCACCGTGATTCATTCTGCCTGAGTCATTCAGCACACGTAGGGTTAAAGTATAGCTGCAGCGTCTTACTGCAGTGTCTAAAGCATTTGGCTGATCGTTACAGTACACGCTAGGACAAGAAGCAAAGGGGAAAAAACATCTTTCTAATACTTACTTTTTCTTCCAAAAATCCTTTTTATTGCATTTTATAACATTTGGCACAGTACAAATTCTTGGTGCTTTTACAAGATAAACCTGTAAAGATCAACACTGATCTTTTTTAGGTTTTTGTTAAAGAAAGTCTTCTCAGTATAAATATTTTTTTTTTTCTTATCACTGCATTCTCTGTAGCATGGTGTAAAAATCACACAGAATGCCCCTTTTTAAAACAACACTACCCTCATTTGTCAAAGTCAAGACAGCATCTTAAACAACTCATTGTTTTAAATAGAAGTTACAAGTTAGAAAATAGTTTCAATTTCTTTTTAATATATGTTTCTCTATCACCAGCCCATGGTAGTTTCAATTTGTCCATATATATATTTATTTATAAGCATGTACAACAAGAAATTGTCAGTCTTTAAGTTTGCACTCTGTACAAAAAAAGTAGTTCCTGTCCTTTTTTCTTTGTGCATTCTATTGCATGATTTTATGAAGAAATGACGCAGTGGGGCATAGGACTAGGGTGGGTTGGAGCTAGGGACCTAGGGAAAGTATGGGGAGCCTTGGGGGCCTTTTTAAATCTGAGTCTCCTGTACCTTCTCCTTAGTGTGAGTTTTTATGACATAGGGCTCAGCCATTGCTGTAATGGTGCTGGGCAAGGTTCGAGGCAAAGAGTTCCCAACATTGTTGTCTGTCCATTTAGCCCCATGACCAGTCGGTTTATAGGTGTTGTATTTGGGCTTTAGAGTGCTGTAGTCCACTTTATGGGGGCTGTAGTCCATTTTGTGTGGACTGTAATCCATTTTAGGTCTCTGAGCATGTGGACTAAAGTCAGACTTGAAGGCGCTGTAATCCGCTTTGTGGGGGCTGAAGTCAGTCTTGAAGGCGCTATAATCAGCTGCAGTCTTGTGGGGGGTGTAAGGGTCCTTAGGTTTGTAGGTACTGTCAGTTTTAGATCTCTGGGCACTGTAGTCTGTTTTGGGTTTAGGCTGAGTGCTATAATCAGGCTTAAATGGGCTGTAATCAGGTTTAGGTCTTGGGTGGGTGCCAAAGTCAGGCTTGAATGGACTGTATTCAGCCTTAGGTTTATGCTGTGTGTTATAGTCAGATTTTAATGGGCTGTAGTCATGTTTAGGTTTTGGTTGGGTGCTGTAATCTCGTTTGAATGGGCTGAAGTCTGTTTTCTGCCTAGGATGAGTGCTGTAATCTGGTTTGAAGGGGCTGTAGTCTGGTTTAGTTTTTGGGTGAGTTCCAAAGTCTTGTTTGAATGGACTGTATTCTGCTTTAGGTTTGTGAGTGCTGTAGTCCTGTCTAAATGAGCTATAGTCAGGCTTTGGTCTATGAAGGCTAAAATCTGGTGTAGATTTGTGAGTGCTGTAATCTGGGATAAATTTGTGGCTACTAAAGTCCTTGTATGTGGTATACTCAGCCTTTGGCTTGTGTAGGGTAAAATCTGGCTGTGTTTTGTATTCGGCCTTAGGTTTGTGAAAGCTGTAGTCAGTCTTGTGGCTAATAAAGTCCAGTTTGTGTATGTTGTTGTGGTCCCGGATTTCAGGCAATGTGAGAGCTGTCTCTTGAGAAGCAGACGCCGGTGGTGGAAGGTCCTCCTCATCCACCTGGATAATCTCAACAGTGCGTGCAGCTGCCACTGTGCTCCTCTGCTGGTGGCGCTTTCTCAATTTGTAAAAGGCAATGAGCATGACAGCAGCCAGTAGTGTTACTGCAACAAAGCAACCAATGATGATCTTTGTCGTTTTCATCACTTCATCGAGGCTTGGCCCAGGCTTGCCAGGCTTGCTAGTGGCACCTTTGACACCTGGTGCCACAGACGGCTTAGCGGCACCTGGTGGGCTGTCAGTGCTTTGCAGTAAAACAGTTGGTGTGGAGATAAACACTGGCTGAAAGACTGAAGGGGAGGCAGTTGTTGTTGTCCCCAGGCCTACACCTCCTCCTCCAGGTACCCCAGCCCCTGCAGCTGAAGCTGTGGTTGTGGTGGTTTTAGGTTTGGGCATCTCAGTTGTTGGCCCCAAGACCTCCACTGTCACTGTTGTAAAGTAACTTAAGTTGGATGTATTAAGCTCAGCTGCACTCACATTGAGGTAGGCTGAGGCGTTGGAATTTCCAGCTGCATTGGACACCATGCAAGTGTAGGTTCCTGTGTCTAGTGCCAAGACATTTGAGAAGTTCAGGGTACCATCATTGAGGACAGATATTCTCAGATGACTTGAGGCATGTGTCAGTATAGTTCCATTGGGTAGAAGCCATCGCACTGAAGACATTGGAGCAGTGCGACAACGAAGATCAGCCACTCGCCCTGCTGAGATGTTTAAGTCCCTTGGTGCATCAGCGATGAAAGGTGCAGAACACTGGACTGCAGCACCCTCTCCTCTGTCCACCTCAACCAGCTGTCGACCTCTCATGCTGGCAGGTGAGTGACAGCGTCCACAACAAGTTGAGTTAGTAGGGATGGACTCCCTTAGCCAGCGTGCTAACCACACAGCCTCACAGCCACAGTTCCAAGGGTTATGGTGGAGATGGAGCTCCACCAGATACCTGAGCGGGGAGAACAGATCATGTGGCACAGCGCTCAGATTGTTATGGGCAAGGTTGAGCTCCACCAATGAAGAAAGGTCGTCAAAAGCATTTCGTTCTATAACTGTAACTTGCGAGTTCATAACCCAAAGTTTTTTCAGGGAGCGCAGGCCTTTGAAGGAGCCTGGCTTTATCTCAGAGAAGAGATTTTCAGAGATCTCTAGCTCCTCCAGACCCTTGAGGGGACTCAGGTTTGGCATATCTCCCTTAATGTTGCACATGCCCAGGTTGAGGTACTTGAGGTTTTGGAGGCCCTCAAAAGCTCCTTCCGAGATGTACTCCAGTTTCCTTAACTCTCCAAGGTCCAGTCGCATTAGAGAGGGCACCCGGTTGAAGGCGTAGGAGGGAATACTTTCAATGGGATTGTTCCTCAGCCACAGTTCCCTTAGTTTAGACAAGTACTCAAAGGCCCCACTGGGCACTACTGTCAACCTGTTGTCAAACAGCTCCAGTGTGTTGAGGCTGGTAAGTCCATTGAACGCGCCCACCTCAATCTGCCGTATGGCATTTCGCCCAAGCTGGAGCACCTCAAGGTGGTGCAGGTGGCGGAAGGAGTCAGCCTGCACCGCCTCGATGGCGTTTTCCATTAGATTGAGGTGTCGCGTGTTGGCAGGAATGCCAGGGGGCACACGGGTGAGGCCACGACGGGTGCACACCACCTTCCCCTGCTGATTACTGCAGGAACACTGGGGTGGACAGCCCTGGGGTCCCTGAGACACCGCCGCCCCCGCCAAGGCCAGGGAGGCGCTGCTCCACGCTCGCGCCATCAGGAAGACTACACAAAGCAGGGCGGCTTTCCTGGCACGATGCACAGCTACCCGCCCCAGGAGACTCATGATGTGGCACGTTCATAATTCAGCATCATCTGGGGGGGAGGTTGGGGGTGTTTGGGGGTGGTGTGTAGGGGCTTTGGGGATAGGGCAAGTAGCTTGTTGGTTGGTAGTAGTGTCAAGGGGTTCAGAGATAATAGGTTAAGGGAACTAAAAAGGACGGGTTGGTTGGGGATGGGGGAAGGGGGGGGGGGTGCAAAGGGCCAAGGGAGCTTGACCTTTTCTCAGTCAAGGAATGCTTTATTTCCCATGAACTATTCTCAGGGGCATAAAGAAAAAGAGGGTGAGGGAGGGCTGACCTGTCTTAAATGTATGTATGAGATAGACATTATGGAAAATTGAGCAACAAAAACCTAAGTAGAAGACAGAAGGAAGGGTAGGTGTTACAAATTGATGCAAAGAGGGGTTGAAACACTAGACACCTACCTCAAGTTATTATAACAGGTCCATCAATTGAGTTTAATAGCTTCGCTCCTCTTTGCAACCAGAAAGAGCTGTGGTATTCACACCAGTTGTATGTATATCCCAAGAGCAGCAAAGAAAGGTTTTTATATTTGCTCACAAAACAGGTATCAATGCCATAGAACTTAAGCAGAGCTATTTTGTAAATCCATAAATCCAAAGAGAAAGGTTTGGAGGCCCTTTGTGACTGTTTTTTGTTCTCCCTTTCCTTGTTGATGAGGAAAAAAAAGAAAAAGAAAAAAAGATTTCAGATAGGAATCCAGTCAAGCTCCCAAAGCAGCAGTGCTCCCTGGCTCGCTTCTTGCTGTCGGCTCCTCTTCTCTCGCTTGTCCTTGGAATCCGACAGTTGATCCCCCTGCTAGACACCTTACCCAGGTCTCCATAGCACAGGCGACCATACGATCACACAAGAGCAGTTTTTTTTTTGTGCACAAAAGCCCAGGCGGAAAGGACAAATAGAGGGAAGTCAAAGCAGGTGGGATTCAGAGAGGTTTAATGAAAATTCCTCAGTCCTTCCCAATGTTCTTTGCCTTTTGTAAGCGATGGTTTACAACAGAGGTTTACAAGGCAGGAAAAAGCAGACCCCCCCCTTCGCTATGTATTCCTCTGTTCACTTTTTAGTAGTCAATCAGTTGGTCGGTTGGTCAGTTTGACAGCCCTTTTACCTTTTTCTCACTCTTTCCCCTTGCGTCCCTCTTTCCGTGACGTCGTGTCCACTTGATTTGTCCTAATTTTTCTTTTCCCCCCAGGAGTCCTCTGTGGGGGGTTGAAAGGGCTAGGCGACACACACTTCCCTCATTTGGTTCTTCTTTCCCTTAACGAGCCACACGTTCCATCCTCAGCAACCTCGGTGGCGACAGCAGCATTTGCAAACGCACACACACCATCCCTGCGCAGCACACAGCAGCAGTAGCGAAGCACACTCCGAAGCAGCTGCAGCCTGCCTCCCTTGCACTTCCCAATAATCCGTCAATTTCTTCAGAGAGGGAGCGGGGTGGGGGATGGAAGGGGGTGCTGGGAGGAGTGGGGGTGTTGTAGCTGGGTTGATCGAGGTGGGTTTGGAGGAAGGAGGGGTGGCAAAGCAGTCTTTTCTTCCTCTCTCCGGCTTCTTTCTTATTTTCTTCGTGTTTTCCAGTTCTTTTTTTCCCCCTCCTCTTGGTGAGCAGCACCCCCTTGCTAATACAGCGTCCGATTGGGGAGAGGAGCAAGATAGGGAAGGCGAGTGCTGGGCAAAGCACGGCTTACAGGCGTGACGTTAACAGTAGCGTCGATGTGGAAAGGATCTGTTGTAGCAGCAAAAGAGAGAGCGTGCACCGGGTTGGATCTCTCTCTGGCTCTCACTCTCTGACACTCTCTCTCTCTTTGACTCTCTCTCTCTCTCTCTCTCTCTCTCTCTCTCTCTCTCTCTCTCGCTCTCTCTCTCTCTCTCTCTCTCTGCCTGCCTCCTGCTCTCTCTGCAGTGTCCTAAGGTAGTTGGGTAGGCTCAAAGCACTCAGACCTTTTTAGAGATCTACCTCTTCAAAAACCAGTTTTCTCCTGCTCTCCTTTGCTCTCTTTTTTTTTTAATGCTCACAGTCTCTTGTTCTGTGGCTTTCTGAATTTTTGTGTGGCTTAGGGTAATAGACAGGCTGTGCAAGCGAGAGGCAGAGATGGACAGTGGCATCCCCACAGCAACCAGATTTTAACCCCATCCTCACCGGCAATAATCCAGCCTTTCCGACGAGTCTGGCAAAGATTTCCAGCATTGCTTTGGTGGAAAAGGCAGGCAGATGGGACACCGTTTCTCTCACTCTATCGCTTCCTCGCTTCATCTCATGATGCCCACTCTCTTTTTCTTCTTTGCTCTCTCTTTCATTATCTTAGATTCTCTTTTACTTTTATGTCCCTTTGCTGGCTCACTCTTTTCGTTTAGTCTTTTAGAAGAAAATAGAGGAACATGAATGGACTGCTGACGCATCCTGCTCGGAGCAGTGCTTTGGTTTGATGCAGTGTGTTTTGTGCATTAACTTCCCCCACCCACCCACTACACCCTCACCCTCCTCGCTGTCTCTCCTTCTCCGCTCACTCTTCACCTGTCAATGTGTCACTCTACCTCATCTCTGGCTGCCTATCTCTTTATATGTAATCTCCTGTAAGCACACAACTCCGTTTATTTCTGTTGGATTTTGACCCTGGACATCAACAAATCCCCCCCTTTTTTTTTCTTTTTTTTTTGAGTTGCTGAAATATTTATAGAGATTTGAGTTTATCTTGAGGTCTTTCTTCAATGCAAGGAAACCTAGATGTAAGGAGGTTGCTTAAATAATGCTGCATATTAAAACAAAGCAGAGAAGAGGAATAAATTAGTGAGTGAGAGTAAAGCATCTGTTTACTTTGTGAAGGTGTCCATATAAATATAAATATTGTAAAATAAGGTGCTGTAAATGATATGCAATCAAAAGCCAGGAAGATATCTTCTGCTCTTTGGCTACACCTTTAGTCCCTTTTCCACACTCCGCCCCCTCCCCTGTCATGTATGCCTGTGCAGATAGTTAGAACACTCTAAACAGGCAGGCCTTAACCCTCAATTTGAGCACAAACTGTCGCTTCAAGAAGCAAACAGCCATAAAGGTCATGTTGAGGAAGGCGAAAAAGAGAAAACAAGACATCCTTTAACTTCCTGCCGCAGGAGAAGAGGCAGAACAAGCGCACCCTACTGTCCCATCACCCCTCTATCTCCCATGATTTGTACAAGCTTCATGTCCATTAAACTAGGAAGCAGTGGGTAATTGATGGGAGGTAAAGCTAGCTGTGACAGTGCTGCTAGGTGTGTGTGTTTGTGTCTGAGCTTAGAGAGTAAGCGTGTGAAACAGAGAGAGAGAGAGAGAGAGAGGACGAGAGAGGAAGGAGAAAAGCACGCCAGCTAGTAAAGGTCACACTGCCTGTAGCGCAGTAGGTTATTCCCACCGGCTCAGGAGTATAGAGCCAACTCCTATATTATATACACACACATACACACACACACACATACACACACACACACAGACTTTCTCCTTGACTTCCCTGCAGTTGAATACGAATGGGCTTCAATGAAGCACGTGTAACAGTGAGGTGGCAGCCTCAGGAGTATAGGGGGGATTTTCCTTGTTAAGAAAGAGGTTATTTCCTCTCCCTTTCCACAGGGATTCCCCAGCACTGCGGCCATGCAGCGGATGATATCAAAGGTGTGCTGCACCACCGAATTCTCCTCACCGCATACTTGAAGCGAGAGGAAACATAATATTGCACATGCATTTATTCATGCAAAGGGGTTGTTTTACAAATGCAAGATGTGCTGCAAATATGCTGCTCAAAACACCATTACATTGATCTGTTACTGAGCTGAATGCACATGTAGGCATGCGGTCATCTGTGTGACTATTGACGAGAAAAATCAGATTTTTTTGCATAATGGAGCTCCTTTATTCTTTTGTCGGATGGTGGCTGTTCACTCTCTTGTCGGTGTGTTGCGCCACAGTTCTATGAGTGAGTGACCCAAAAGGAGTTCAGGAGTTCAGGTTGTGTTTTATCCACCACGCATCGTACATCCCAAACTTTCTAACCAAAATCACCCACTGACCCATAACATGGTCATCGCTGCCAGGACGGTCTCTCTCTCTCTCTCTCTCTCTCTCTCTCTCTCTCTCTCTCTCTCTCTCTCTCTCTCTCTCTCTCTCTCTCTCTCTCTCTCTCTCTCTCTCTCTCTCTCTCCTGGCCCCTACCTTGTCAATTTCTCCTCCTTCCTGTCTTTTCTATTCCCACTCTATTTTTGTCTCTCAGTGGACACTCCTTTCTCACCACTGAGGGAGCCTGGGTCATGGCCTGCCAAACTCTGCGATGCTCCACTGACCAAATGTGGTCAACACCTTGCGATGTACTTTGATCTCGGCCTGGAATGGCTAACATGGCTTGATTGTCAGCCAAAGTCTGATCACGGCAAGGTTTTCCAAGGTCCTGAATGTGGTTCTAGTGGTATGTGGCATCCGTGACATTGGCAAGAGGTGAGCCAGAAAAGCCTCTAACCTAGTTGACCTTTTTGGGGTATTACCTTTATTTTGTGTCACTGCATTAGCAACCTGTCTAAACTGTTAACTCTGGAGTTATACTTTTAAGGATTTGGTTATGTATCCATATGCTATCGTTTAAAGTAGAGTGTTGTCTGGCCCTTCCTCCTGGACTTGCCACCCGTTGATGGCTTGATGAGTTGTCACATACATACATGAGACCTTCATACTTTCATGCAAGCCCCATGCCCCTGCTGTGGGACCCCTGCCCTCCCTTTTCCTACCCACAGGCGCAATAGAGCCTCCGCCTGCACCAGGCCAAGAGGGCACTGGGTGTAGTTAGTGGCAACCACACGACCTACTTTGGTGTGGCCTGTCCGCCCGTCAGCCAGCATGTTCGAGGGCTATATGCAAACACTACAGAACCCATCCCCGGAGGTGGATGCTGGCGAATCTGGGCTGTGGCCAGTCACATGTAGGTCAGCAGCATGTGTGTGCGTTTGCATGTGTGTGCGTGTCAGTGATTCCATTTAGGGGGAGGGATTGCCTGCAGAATTGTATAGCAGCAATGACAATTGGAGTTGAGGGATGCACAGTTGAATGATAGATCTAATGATAATGTCATTGCCTCTGCTATTGCCAGGATCAAGGATTTACAGCAGCCCCTTAGGCAGTCCACATATGGTTTTCTGTGTGTTTGTGTGTGTGCGTAGGAGAGACAGGGAGAGCAATTTTCTAAAGGAGACAAGAAGCACACTATTTTTGGGCTTGTGTTGTGCTCTGAGAGCTGTTACAAATTTTATGTATTTGTGTTTTTTTAGTGTGCGTGCATGTCCTCCAAGTATCCGGAAATGTCCGATTCGATGCATCCCGCACTGGCACGATGTTATCTTTGCCTTCTTTTCAAGGCCACCTTACCTTGACATGTGCACAACACCAACACACACAGACACCCCAAACACTAGCGCTGACCTTGAGTTAAAGGACCTAATACGAGACACTGTGTTTCCCATTTTCATTTCAATTTCCAGGAATTAATTCCGGGAGATTATGATTTACACCCACACACTGACACGCTGCTATCACTGTCCCAATAACGGCTTATACTGCTTGGTAGGTTTTTTTTTTTTTTTAACGGTTTATCATTTTCCCCATCACTCAAACACACATAATGACACACACACATGCACACACACACACACTTATCATGTGCCAGCGTGTAAACAGATCATAACAGGCAATAGGGTATATTAGTGGCTTCTGTATAGCTAGTTGGTTTAGTTAGTTAGTCAGAAGAATTACCATAATATTTTCTAACATTTAATCTATGTCTATAAACTAATCTCTGTCTGGGAGGCTGTATCAATACTCCTTAAGTTCCTATATATTGTTTGAAGAGTTTGTTTGAAGTGTTTACCCCTTTTATCTTTCGTACTTTTTTCTTCCTAATCTTTCCCTTCTCTTGCATGCCCAATGCTTTCTTATTTGTTTCCCTGTCTTTGTTCTTGTCCTTCTTCTTTTTCACTCTACATTATGTTGTCTCTCTTTCTTTTCCCACTTTACTGTGCTGTTCACTTCTTTCTTTCCCTTCATTCGCCTTCTCTGTCCTGCCCCCTCCCCTGTCTCTCTCCTCCTCTTAATTGCTACTTTCTACAGTGTTCCTCTGGTCTCAAGTTAATTGTGTTTGCCCATTCAGCATATGTTTCTGTGTGACAGAGTTTGCACTCTCCATATGAAGGCATGGTCAGGTCATGGCGACTGAAGGTTTACAGTAGAAGATGAACATTTTTTACTTCCGTTTGAGCTTTGCTAGCAGCAATTGTCTCCAGACTAATGGGCTTCATTATGTTGAGCTGTATTCATACTGGCTGCCAGAGCAGGGATTAGCCCTAGCTCTGTGTTAGTTGGAAGCAGAAGAAAGATACAAGTAGGTTAGCACTGTTAACCCAATCAGCTTGAGCCAAGATAGCTAGATGGGAGGAGATGTTTCATGCATATTTTGTAATGAGAGTGCTTTTACTTTGACTTCTTAAATTTGCAATTTTTAACCAATTAGAATAAGATTAAGAGCTGGCTTTTTACCAAAGTATAAAATGCTACAGTAAATCATCGTGTTAAACCTTTGATGTAACGCCCTTATAAATGCTTCCTCTTGTTAAAATGTCTTACCATATGCAAATGCTCCCCATGTTTTGCCCTGGCCACTTCATTGGTCAGCTCGTCTCATTAGGATTCATGGAGCACCCCTCTATGTGCGTTCATCACAATGTTGCCTTGCCAACTGCCAGGCCATAGGAAA